TCCTATCTTTCGTATCCTCTATTGGGATCTTGGACTCCACAGAGGCAGAGGCACGTGCTCTCCTGAAAGGCTTTAGTCGCTTTGATCCAGCCTGGCCCCCTCACTCATTATAGAAGGGGACTGCAATAATGTTATTTTATGGGCATCTTTGGAGATTATGGCACATCTTTGATCAGATTTACATTCTATGCAAGTGTATACAGGTCTCTTGGAGACATATTTAGAGAGAGGCCAACAGAACAGCGGATGAGCTAGCTAAACTTGGAGCAAGGATGGAGTGAGGAGGACCGTCCTACATCTCTGCGTCTTTTCTTTATGGACATTTTGTTGTACCTTTTTGGGTTTTCTTTTAAGGGGCCTCCGTTCGGTTTACAACTTTAACTTTTGTGTTGGCTTATTTTCAGTTGTTTCTTCCAGTCACCTCCCTCGGTGACTTTTGTACACCCGCTTGGGTTTTTTCTTTGCTGTATCTTTCTCTACCATCAATACAATGTCAACTTTTATAAACAAAAAACAGTTGGAAGGCCAATGTATGGATTATACAAAGAGGTTGCTTTAAACCCCACAACCCAACCCCTCCAGCCCCTCCCCCGGAGCCCCCACCCTCTCTTCCGCTTCAAAATAAAAGAGTTTTGATGCAGAACTCCCAAACCTACTTATTTCTAGGAACAATGTTCAAGAAGGCTGATGTGGCCGCCTAGGCCATATGTTGTTTTTTGTGTATGTTTTGTGGCTGTGTGTGTGTGTGTGTATGTGCACCCGCACGTATGTGTGTGCGTGAGGTGTCGCATGAAATTCTTAAAGATCATCCTTTTTTCTTTTTTTCTTTTGGATCTGTATTTGTGAGAGAGAGGTCTCGAACAGTTGGAGGATATATCAAGAGAGAGAGAGAGAGAGAGTTTGTGAGATAGAGAGGGACCTCGCATCGAACAATTGGAGGTGATCTTCTTCTTTGTCTTCTTCTTACATGTAAAGAGGGGAGCGTATGGGTCCATGTGTTTCTTTGTGTGTGTGTGTGTGTGTGTGACAGCGAGAGGCCGTGCCTCGAACACTTGGAGTCCATCTTCCTCTTGATATTCTCGTATGTAGAGAGAGCACAGGACCCAAGAGAGAGAGAGAGAGAGAGAGAGAGAGAGAGAAGGCG